CTCCTAAGGCCCTTTTCTCTCTTATGGGCCAGTGCTATGGATTGAGTATGTCCTCCAAGCTTTCACGACTGGAAACTTGATCCCCACTGTAGCAGCATTAACAGGAAGGGAAAGTCTATTACGGTAATTGGAGGGTAGGGCCTTTGAGAAATGACTGGGTTGTGGGATCATACAGATCTACTGTATGATACCCACTGCTTTAATTCCCCCATCAACCCATTGTTTTTCTCCATTTCCATTTGCGGATAGCTTTCCATCCATAAAAACAAGCGTGATGTGTTTGTGAATTGCCCACCGTGCTGAGTTGTACATGCTGTCATTATATTTTGTCCTGTATAACCACAGACCAAATGATTTGAAGGTCCAGTAGAAAACAGCAGAAAATTCCTTCCTGTATAGTATCCTTTGCAGTAGATGTAACCTGTAAAATATTCATTAAAATATACAAACACTTTCCTAGAGTTCCATTTAGTCATTATTAATCGGTCCAGTTCATGAGCATATGGTATGACCAGAATGCCTCTCAGAGCCTTTCTCAGGATATCAATATAATGTTGTATTGCCTTCATTGCAAAACCCACTTATTCATTATTCTATCTTCAGCTGCTATTTCCCTTTTCTTCAATTGTCATTGATTTTTATCCAAACATTTTACCTTTAAATGTAATGTTAGGTTTGGCCACTGTGCTGGCCCAATTGCTGGCAGTAATACTAGTGTAACCAGTGCCTCGCCCTTAGTTCACTTTCATTCATAGAGGGTAAGCTTACTTGGGAATAAAACTAATGGGCTATCCTGACCACTAGGGAGCACAATAGCATTTACTATGACCTCCAGCTTTTCCAGCTGGGGTAAAGGCACAATCTACCCCATCAGGCTCATAGGAATTCCAACATATAGATTTAAAGGTATAGTGTCTGCCTTAGGAGTCATCCCTGCTTCTGGCACCCACAGTTGTGTGCCTGGTCCGGGGACCACTGCCTTAGGCAGAGATAAAAAAAGAATTGAGTTGATGTGGGGAAGAATTGTATAGTTGCACGAGCATTCTCTTGATTCCCTCTGTCCTTGATCTCTCAGAAGAGTGAAAGAATCTATAAGATGGGGACTCTCCCTTACCACCCCACACATTGAGTGTGAACACACACTAATGAAGGTGTGTAGGCCAGTCTTTTATGTCTTTATTTCCCCCAGCTTTAGAAAGTATCTTAGTTCATTTGTGCTGCTATAAGAAAATACCTGAGATTGAGAATTTATAGTTAACCAAAATTTATTTTTCACAGTTCTCAAGGCTGAGAAGTCCAAGATCAAAGTGCTGGCAGGATCAGTGTCTATTTATGTCTTCTCTGTTCCTCCAAAATGGTTACTTGAAAGCTGAGGCCTCTGGAGGAATCAGGTGCTGTGTTCTCATATAGTGGAAGGGACTGAAGGGGCAAACTCAACCCTCATGCCCTTTATTAGGCACCAATCCATTCATGAAGGTGAAGCCCTCATGACCTAATCATCTCCTAAAGGCTCAACATCTTAATATTGATGCATTGGGGATTAAGTTTCAGCATGAATTTGGGAGTGGGGCACAAACATTCAAACCATAGCAGACAGCAAATGTTTTAACTCTCTTCCTATTCTCTATTGAACCATTACTCCGAGGATGATATGCAACATGATTTGTTCATTTGACATAATATCTCTTTGCCCACTGCTTCACAGTATGGACTATAAAGTATGTCCCTTGATCTGAAGAAACATAGTTTGGTGCCCCAAATTGGTACAGTATCTTCTGTTCCAATTTTTAAATAGTAATTTGAGCATTTTCAGCTACTGCTTGGCAAGCAAAGCCCAGTCTTGAATGTCTTCTCCTGTCTGGACTCATTTATAGCCCCCTGGTGCTGCTGGCATTGGTATAATGTAATCCACTTGTCAGATGTGTGCGGTGCCATCTCCCTGGTGAATCTTCCCCTGAGCCATCTGCAGTCTCCATCTCTCTTGCTGGTAAACAGAACAGTTCTTATTACCTTCTTGTGATTTGGGGGTGCAAGAGGAATATGACTAGATTCAGCCCATGTCTATTTTATGGCAGCTCTCCCATGTCCACTCATTTCATGAACCCAGGTTGTCACCTCTAGGTAGTGCACCAAAAGTTCCACTCGGTGGTTCCAATCATCTTCTAAACCTGGAAGGGGAGTCTTCTGATGGGCAGTGACATGCTCTACTTTAATGCAACACTTAAATTCCCAGAGTGATTTCCAACTCCTTGAAGTCAGGTCTACTACCAATTCCAAATTCCATTGGTTACTTTTAACTTTTGTATTAAATAGCAGCGCATCTGCAGTTTCATCCCATAGGTGACTTCCTAGCTTTCCAGGGATCAACAGTTCCGCATCCCCCAGCCTTTTGTCCTTTCTCTTTGCAAACCACATGTTTTCATGAGCCAGGACCATTCCAGCAAATCCTACCTCTTTGACACCAAAAGAAAAGGGAAAAGCAAACTGTTATGCTCTATATTTACTCACTCCTGGCCACCAGTTTGTAACAACATCTGTTTACGAATAAGAGGTCCTCACAATCCATTACTAAAGTTCAATAATTTACTACAATAGCTCACAGAACCCAGGAAATCAGTTTATTTACTAGGTTACCAGTTTATTACAAAGGATATTTTAAAGAATACAAATCAATAGCCAAATGAACAGATAGGAAGGGAGAGGTTCAGAAGGATCCCAAGCACAGGACCTTCTTTTCCCATTGATCTTTGGGGCGTTCCACCCTCCTGGCATATGGATACATTGTTGTTCACCAACCCCAGAAGCTCTATGCACCCTGTCCTCTTGAGTTTATATGAAGGCTTAATTACATAGGCAGGATTGACTAAGTTATTGGCCACTGGTGATCAAGTCAACCTTTGGTCCCTCTTCTCTCCCAAGAAGTCAGGAGGTTGGTCTGAAAGCTTCAACGTTCTAATCATATGGTTGGCCATGTTGGCAACCAGCCCTCCATCCTGTGATTTTCCACGGTCTTCCAAAAATCACCTTATTAACATAAACTTAGATCAGCTTCATTAACACAAACTCAGGTGTTTTAAGAACCTTGTTCTTAAAAAAAAAAAAAAAAACCCTCTTTGTTCTTTCTTCTTTATCTCTTGACTCCTTCAGGAACAAAGAAAAAAAGACCAAATATTATACCAAAAGATACTCCTGATTCTTATTGCTCTCATCACTTAGTAAATTACAAGGGGTCTAGGAGATGCAAGCCAGAAACTATGGACAAAGACCAAAATACATATTTCTTATTAAATTACATATCACACTTACCTTACAGCATATGCAAAAATTAAGTAAAAATGGATCAGAGACCTGAAATTTAGAGCTTAAACTGTAAAAATAATGGGCGGAAAAAAAAAAAAAAAACATTAGGAAAGAGCTTCATCACATTGGATTTGGGAATGAATGATTTCATAGATATGGCATTAAAAGCACAGGCAATGAAAGAAAAACATAGATAAATTAGATTTCATCAAAATAAGAATTTTTTACATGAAAACACAATGAAATGTACACATTAGAAGAAAATATTTAGAAATCATGTATCTGGTAAGAATTAATATCCGTAATACCTAAGGAATTCCTACAACTCAACAACAACAACAACTGCAACAAACAACCCAATTCGAAAATGGGAAATGAAGTCAGGGGTCTTTCTTCAAAGAAGATGCATAAATGGACAATAAAAACATAAAAAAATTCTCAGCATCATTATTCATTATAGAAATGCAAATCAAAATTACAATGAAATACCATTTCATATTCATTAGGACACCTATTTTAAAAATGGAAAATAACAAATATTGGTGAGGATGTGGAGAAACTGGAAACTTTGTGTATTTGTTGTGGGAAAGCGAAATGGTGCAGCTACTGTGAAAAACAGTTTGTGAGTTCCTCAAAAGTTTAAACATAGAACTGCCATATGATCCTTCAGTTTCACTCTTGGGTATTTACTCAAGAGAACTGAAATCAGAAACTTGAACAGATGTGTGTACTTGAGTGTTTTTAGCAGCATTATTGGCAATACCCAAAACATGGAAACAACTCACTTGCCCATTGGAAGATGAATGGTAAATAAAATGTGAAATATGCTCATAATGGAATATTATTTAGCCTGAAAAAGGAAGGATGTTCTGACACATCTGACAACATAAATGAACCGAAGGTACATAAAGCTTAGTAAAATAAGCCAGTCGCAAAAATGCAAATACTACATGATTCCACCTGTATGAAACACCCAGTGCAGTTAAATTCATTAATACAGAAAATGAATAGAGATTACCAGGGGCTAAAGAGTGGCAGCGGAGGGAGGATGGGGAGTTATTGTTAAACGATCCAGCAATTATATTGAAGGTGATGAAAACACTCTTCATACAGATAGTGGTGATAATTAAACACCACTGTAGTTGTATTTAATGCTATGAAATTGTGTACTTATAACATTAAAATGATAAATATTGTTATATGTATTTTACCACAATAAAAAGAAACAATGGTTGCTTCCATGTTACTGTCAAGTATGATACAAAATTTGAAAACATTTAACAAATTCTTAACAAAGTGAATGTAAACAGTATCTTTCACTTTTACTTCAGAAAACTGCTTTTAAAAACCCTTCTTTACCAGGATGACCTGGTAACACTAATATATAACTCTTTTGGTTACAGATTGTCTTTTTTTCCCTTTTCATCTGCTAGGTGAGAATTGTAATGATAATGATAGCCCGTCTATTAGACCTTTCAAGCATTTAAAATATACCTGTAGATTACGTGGTTTAAAATCACTCACTAATTCATCTCTCAGAGTCTCAAATTGCTCATCTGTTACATAGAGGCAATGACCTAGACTGATTCAAAGAAATTGTCCTATCTGATGGACAGATCCCTATGATCTGTCCTATCTGATGGACAGATCCCTTTGATCCCTATCATCTTCTAATAGAGTAAAGACATTTGTCTTAATAGGTTCTGTGGAGATACACAGGAAAGAAACCAGATACATTAGGACCCAATACAAGGCTCTATGAATGGATTCCACAGAATGATCTTCTTGGTAAGACCAAAGAAACTAAACAGACTGGAATGAGGGATAATCTGAATAATTACTCAACAACAACGACCCACAACGAATTTGTATTCAACGCAAGCAAACTAGCAAACATAAAACTTAATGTCTTCTTCATATTTCTTCTGGAGCTCCAAAATAAATGTAGAATCTAAAATTCTCCCATTTATTATACAAATTCAGACTCAGACTGAGAATCAACATACCTTTAGATCAGGCTCTCATTAACTTTTGCATGGAATATTGCAGCCCCCTCTTGATTCTTGTATCCTTTCTCCCACTGCTTTTCTATCTTGCCCTCTATAACTTTTGGAAAAGAAAAATCTGATAATTCCATTGTGGGCCATTTGTATATCACCATTTCTAATATTATAAATGACTCCACACTGCTATAAAATCAAGTATAAATTCCCATTTTCTTAAACAGAGCACTACATGAATTTGTCGTAGCCTGTGTTTCTAGCCTGTTATGCCAATGCTCTCTCCTTGAAACTGAACATCATACCAACCCTTCCCCAATCACACAACAGTTTAGTTTCTTAAATCTCTCCAATCCTTAGTATTCATGTATTCTTCCTTCCAACAACTTCTCTACATGACAACTACACTCCATCATTTAAACTCAACACAAATCATCTCAGATGTTTGAGATCTGAATTAACTGCTGGAGTAACTACTCACTGCTACCTTTGGAGCCAAGAGTAATTTATATATAAGCCTCATGGCACAGCACGTTACATAGAAGATGCTGTCTAATTAAGTCAATACTTTGTATAGATGCCATGTTTCTATTTTTCTGGAATTCTCACAATTTAGAATAATGCTACATTATTTTTTCTCCTCTTAGGTCATCCCAAAACCAGAGCTTTCATCACTCATTGTGGAACCAATGGGATCTATGAAGCTATTTACCATGGGGTCCCTATGGTGGGAATTCCCATGTTTGCTGATCAGCCTGATAATATGGCTCGAGTAAAGGCCAAAGGGGCAGCTGTTGAAGTGGACTTGGAAACAATGACGAGTTCAGATCTGCTTAATGCTTTGAAAGCAGTGATTTACAACCCTTCGTGAGTATATATGTATTCTTTCTGAGAAGCATCCACCTCCTTAAAAGCAATAAATTGTTTCATTCCATTTTAAATGAATTACTCATAAATAATTACCAATACACACTAATCTCAAACATGGTTGTCTTATACTTCCAAAATTCTATGGAGGCATTTTGATTCACCTGCTGTGAATGGGTAATAAATTACAACTTCAAAGAAATATTTAAATTGCTTTAAAGAAAATCAGTTATGTTAAAAAGGCAAAAGCCATCATTTTTATAAAAAGTGATTATGTTAATATCTTAAAAACTTACAGAAACTCCCATTATACAGGACTTAGACAGTATAACAGAAAAAAAGAAAAATTAAAATTAAAAATCACTAAAATCTCCCCTCAAGCTTTTATGACCAATCTTACTGGTAGGGACCACGATTTTAAGACCAATCTTACTGGTAGGGAAACATAACCTCAGGTAAAATGTTTTTGCTAATTTATAAATAGCTAAGAAAAAGATGAAAGTTATTTTATAAAAAATGGATAGTACTACTTCAAATAAAAAATATCTTATACTGGTATATTTTAATTTAAAAAATAAAAAATAATCACTAAAATAAAAATGAAAGAGTAACCAGGCTTTGAGTAAATATTTCTTTAATACCAGATAAATTGCTTACATTAAGAGATTAGAATAATTATATTTTAAATGTTTCAAATTTTGGTCACCATAGAATGGCTTTTCACTATGAAGTCATTTCCCAGCTTCCCACACATCTCTTAAACACCAGATATTAATTTTTGTTTGATATGTTATCACGTGGTTTAGGCTTACAACATATGCATCTTGTCTGTGCCCACAATGTCCAATGTTGTTTAATCTTAGTTTTATATTATGTGGACTAAATGATGCTATTCCTGTTTTACTATATTTGTCCCAGTCCTGTGAGTCTCTGTTCTTAGTAACTTGTTATGAGAAGTATTTTGTTTATGTATCTGGGTGCTTTTGTTGTTTTCTCATTTTTATGCAATATATACAGAAGAGGCACTTATTCTTTAAATTTTTGCATATTAAAGAAACTCTGCCTTGTTTTCTTTTTAAAGCAATAATCAACTTGGCTTTGTATAAAATCTCTGGCTCACAATTTTCTCCTTCAGAACTTTCTACATGTCATTTTTTAATCTTCTATAATTTAATGTTGTTACACTCTCCTTAAATAATGCTGGTTCTTTAGTGTGGGAGAATAAAGCTTCCACCTTCTTCTGAAATCCAACGAAATCCTCCTTCTAGGTCAACATCCAAAACCTTAAGCCAAAACTGTGGCCTGATCTTTTGTTCCTTAAGTGAAGGTAGAAGGCTCAGTGTCCTTGCTGTTGCCATTGTCGCATCTCACCACTGGCACTTGAATCCCTCCATAGCTTGTAGCAAAGATTGCAGCATCTACTCACTCTGAGACCTCATTTCATGCCTGAAAGATCAGATGGGCTTTTTATTTTACTCAGAAGTATAGTGGCCAAAACGACCACAGACTGAAAACATTACTTGGCACTGTTGAAGACCAGCTTATTGTTCACACTAAAAACTCCAGGCCAACATGGGTGGGGGAGGGGTTTCCTTTATCATCAGCCTGCCCCTGAATGCTGCTGCCTGTCACTACCTTGACCCTAACGCCATACAAGGCAAATGAGATCGAATTTTGGCATTTTCAGCCAACATATTCTACATTCTTATATCTGAGCTTTTAAAATGCTAACTCTCATCAATAATTTTAAGAATATATGGCATAATTTCAGGTGTATCATGTACTTAACAAATTCTTTAAGTTGCTATCCATGTATTCAATCTTCAGCTACAAAGAGAATGCTATGAGGTTATCAAAGATTCACCACGATCAGCCTGTGAAGCCCCTGGACCGAGCAGTCTTCTGGACTGAATTTGTCATGCGCCACAAAGGAGCCAAGCACCTGCGGCCAGCTTCCCACAATCTCACCTGGTTCCAGTACCACTCCTTGGACGTGATTGGGTTCCTACTGGCCTGTGTGGCAACTAGTATATTTCTGTTCACAAAATGTTGCCTGTTTTGTTGCAGGAAGTTTGGTAAGACATGGAAGAAAACAAAGAGGGAGTAGTTTTTCTTTAACAGTTTTGTCTGGAAATCTTGATAGAGCCCATCTGGATAAATTTAGACACTGATGTGAACAGATTCCTCCCTTTCTGTTCAAAGTTCTTGTCCATTCTTGAGCTTATCAAGTCAAAGATAAAGTAATCGTCAAAGTAGTCTAATTCTAACGATTTCAAAATAAGGTTTTAAATAGTTTATTGTTTAAAAGTAGAAGATAAGCAAGCCCATGGAATGTTCTACTACTAAAATCTTAATGCTTTTGCTTTATTCACGTTTTTAGTTCAACAAATTGAGATGCTACTTGAGACATTAGGAACAAAATGGTTAATTCTATTTTTATTATCAATCATATTAAATATTTTCTAAATATTCATCACCATTTCGGGTCCATTTAATAATTACCGAATATTCCCTAAAGAACTAGACAGTAAGTAGGATAAACTGCACTATAGCTATAGCTTCCCTTCAAATAAGGAATATCAGGAGATCGTCAGGGATTCTATTCTGCGTCCCGTAAAGGGTATTTTATTCCACTAGTTTCCTTTCATATGACATAAGATTTGCTCCTCCTTGAACATAAAAAAAAAAAAAAAAAAAAATTTTTTTTGTCTTTACAGTCTGCCCTTGACTTCGAAATTTATAATGTTAGTGCCAAATTTGTATCATAACACTTTGTGGCTGTGTGGAAAATCAATAATTTTGACAGGTTATCAGGATTGTTGATATGGTGGAAAGAAGAGACACAACTACTTTGCTATACTCCAGATAATTTGGAGAAAAATGCATTTCTTAAAAATGCTATTGGCTATGAGGATGATTTCTTCATCTACTCACAATCTCAGTGACAATGCCCACTTCTTCCTTTTCTTTTTCCCCATCATTATTCCTGGCCTTCTTGACATGTATTATGATCAGTACACAAGGCATAAGTACTTGGGTTTTGTACTAACTAGAATTAGCCAGAAATCTACATGAAACACAAAGGCAGAAATTTAATTTTCATAGACGGAAGGACATCTTTTCCTCTCTTTCTTAAAAAGACTTTCTCCCAGTATATTTGCCAGTTCATTGTCCTTGAGGTCAAAGAATTATTACTGTGGTAGTGGTATGTATTAAGCAAGCTCAGTGAATGATTTTTCCACAGTTTGATATCTGTAACACAAACTTAGTAGTCCTGCAATTACAATTCTATCTTAGAACAATATAAGTCATTTAGGAGATGGCATTACCATTTTAAAAAAATAATAGTGGCACAAATAAAACTATACCAAAAAATATATATATTCTTAGATGGGAAATTAAGTGTAAAGGTATGTAGAAGAAAAATACATTTTGTCAATTTTATGAGGTTTTGATATAATTTAAAAACTTATAAAGTTTTAAGGCATAGAGTTTAAGAAGTTTAAACACTTGTACTGTTGTACAGCTTGGTTTAATGTCTCATTAATGGAATCAAAGTCATAATTTGCCATTGTGCTGAATTATTTAATTTGATAATGTTCTTGCTATAATAGTCTTTAAAATCATATAATCTTTGATCGGATAATTTTGTATCAAAATCAGACTCTTTAATTTTTTATTAGTGTAAAATGATATAACATACAGCAGTTTAAGAAACTTAAGATTTGAATAACTTGCTAAGATGCTCTGAGTTTATTCAAAAGAACTACCTTGACATGTGAAATGATACATTGTATCTTGTAGAAACCAAGGCTATTCTTAAGAACAAATATTTGCATATTTAAATTATTTCTGTAGAGACCAC